GTAAAAAAAAGCAAAAGATGCCGCACAGTCAAAAGGAAAACGAAAAAGAAAGTACCGGAGGTGTTTCTTATTTGTGTTGCTGTCATCTTAGCAGAAACTACAGGTAAGATATTGTTGAGCTACAGAAATGTGCCTTTCTGCATATTTAAACTATGTACCATCGCCGTTTCACATGCCACTAGCATGTTAGAAGGAAAGACACTGGCTAAGGTTGTTTTACTTAGCAGTGTTAGCTAAACATGATTTAGTGTTTGGCCTCGTGTTAAGCTTTTAAAACGGACACTCAAGTGAAGGTTGAGACATCTGGATAAGGTCTGCCACTGAAAGAGGCTCCTTTCTGTTAGGCAGCAATAATGTAACAACTTATATCCCGCTGTTGCTAAGCCACGAAGCCCATGAATCTGAATCCCATTCAAATATTTGGATTTTTTCATTTGGTTTAGTTGTATGTCGTACGTGGCTGTCCCATTTTAATCATTTTCATGCTACAGTCAGCTGTTTAGGGTCTTTCCTTTTATTCGGCGTACATGTTTCGCCTAAGTGTGTTTTAAATTTAATCCAACGTTAACTTGAACTTTGAAATGCTGTAATGGTGGTGTGTTCGTTTATCTGAGGAAGCTGTGCACACAACTTGTTTTAAACGTTTAATACTGGAAGCAAACCCAGTTTCATTGCTTTTAAAGTTTGCAGCGTTAATAAATATATCCAACACTATTGTATATTAAAAAGCAAAAGGTTGTAGATCAGTAGAGAAATCAAAATTGGATTATATCTCTCCATATGTTTTTAAGCATTGTATTTATAAAAGCCATTTGAGTTAGCAGGGTTACCAGATTACATCTCTGCAAATCTTTACTAAGCAAAGCTGCAATGGCTCCATATCTAGCTCCATCAGGTCAAGTTAGTCAACAGGAAGTTTGCAGTTGTGGTCACAAGTTTAGACACACTCAGCATGGGCATAAATGCGATGGATGCAATTTGGAGTTTTCAGTGAGCTGTTAGTGTGAAATGGTTGTACAGTCAGCTTTAATGATTTTATGAAAACAAGGGTTGGGTCCACAAATTTTAATTTATTTGGGATTTTCGTTGATCCACACAAGGTCAAGAGTGTACATGCAGGCTCAAATATATCATACATTCACTTAGATATTTCCATAAATGGCGCCAAAGGTTCTACAATTTGTTTTAACTCGACAAGGCCAAGGACTTTTAATTTAGTCCTCATGACTGGTAGGTTATCTTTGCCAAAAGATTTATTTGACAGCACTGACTGTATTCACCGATACTCAGCACAATGAGACAGTTCAAGGATCACGGTGCAGATCTAAGGAGGAGAATTTCACAATTTGGGATGGTCTCCATTCCAGGATTATCATCTCAAACAGCTGTACGTAGGTGGAGTTATTCACACGTTTCACCACTTGGAGTCTTCTTCCAGTCCTTGGCAAATTGTTACCCCTCAGATGAGAGTAAATTCATAATGGGGTGTTCAGGAACTACTAAGACTCAAGCCTGCCATGATCCAGAAACTGCAGGAATACCAGTGAAGCCAGTTTTACATCACCATGTACTGAGAGGATGTCGACCAAGAAAGAAGTGATGTTCCAAAATTAACGCCTGCAAGCTTCACTGAAATTTGCAGCTGTGCACATGGGCAAGCCAAATGCCTTCTGGAGAAAAGTTTTAGGGTCAGATAAGGCCAGGATTTAGCTATTTGATCACAGTGACAAAATATATGTTTGAAGTGGTCAAGGCAAGGCTTTAAAACCTACTGAACCAGCTGCCAAGAATGGTGGTGGTGACATCATGTTCTTGGGCTGTTTTGCTGCCCTGTTACTGGAACACTGCACAAAGTGGATGGAGTAATGAAGAAAGAGGGCTAACTCCAAATTTTCCACCTCAAATTAGCAGCTAGATGGTTAATAGTTGTACACAACTGTGTGTTCAAACAGAGCAGTGATCCCAAACACACATTAAAACTTGTTTTAGAACGGATAAAACAGGCTAGCACTAATGCCCTGGAGTAGTTTTCTCAAAGCCTCGACCTCAAGTATGGAAACTTTAAACTGTGTTTAAAAGCCGAGTCTGTGCTGGGAACCCTAACAATTTAAGTGAACTCTGCCAATTCTGCCAAGAAAAGTGGTCAAATATCAAAGCTTGTTGGTGCTACTTAAGACATTAAACCAAATACAAGCAGGCCTGTATGTGTAAATTTGTGCCTGTATATACATGTGAGCCTCGTGGATTAGTCCAAAATAAAAATGACGTGTGCACCACACTCTTTTTCTTTTTTTTTT